GCTTCGTGTTAGGAACAAAAAGATCCTACACTGATTGATCAAAATCAAAATTATTAACCTAGAGAGGACATGCTGAAAATCACATAAAAAACAATGCAGCAGGCGAGTCTAATTTACCAAAATCAAAATTTTATTGCAGCAAATCAATCAAATGGTCCTCAGTAGTTTGTATGGACTCCACCAGCATGTATGCACGCCTGGTAATGTCAGGCATGCTCCTATTGAGATGGCGGATGGTGTCCTAGAATGTCTGGACCGGGACATCACTGAGCTCCTGGATAGTGTGAGGTGCAACCTGGTGGCATCGGATGGTCCCAGAGGTGAGCAAGTAAGTGGTAATTCTTTCATTCTCAATGAACTGCCTGGAATGTCTCACCACATGAAGCTGGGTGGGTATTGTAGTGCACGAAGAGCAACTCAGACCTTCCGTGGCCCTGTCCAGCTCTCCTAGAAAAACTGCCTGTCTCTGTGCTGGGAGACACAGCAAACCTTATGGCAATGCCACATATTGCTCTGTCATCCTTGAGGAGTTCAACTGCCTCAAGAACTACCTCTGTAGTGTCCACATATCACCTTCCTTTAATTTTTTTGAGCAGCATATTTACCACCCTGCTCATCCATGAAAACTAAAAGGTCAGAGGTGGGTAGAGCAGCAGTAGGACCCTAATAGAACAGGCTTTAATGACAAAAAAATGACAGTTACTAAGTCAGATACAGCATGAAAGGAGTAGATGGAAGGGAGGTGGGTGGCAAAGTGGCTTGCAGATGTGTAGCAACTGACAAAGCAGCTTAAATAGAGCGCCACATATAGCCATATATGTGATGTGTGGATTGTATCACTCGAGCCTTCAGCTGATATGAGTGGGCATTTCTTGGAACTGAGCTGACCTTTACTTCATGGCCTGTTTGAACAAACACCATGTTTAGATTTACAAACAAAGAGCTCATACGTGACTCTGATTCAACTGATTGAGTGTGATGCAGTTGGTGTTCAGCAAGAAGCATGACAACAGTCTCCAGGATGTAGGCACACGTTTCTCTCTCAGTCACTGAACAAGAAATGTATGGATAATCAAATAATCAGCTTCAATTAAAATCAAAAGAAGAAAACCCATAGAAATAATAATAATAATAATAATAACATTCATGAGCCAAACCAGAAGCTTATCTTCCTGTGTTATGGCATAAATATTTATGACAGTCAGATTCCTCAGACTGGCTCAGGCATTTAGTGGGTTTGGTTTTTCTTTTTTTCCCACAATCTGCCAAGCGCATCAAAACTTACTGGATGGCATTTCTAATCTAATCTGTCTTCCTTTCTATTTTTAAACACAAACTCTGTTACAAGAACTGTAGTTTCCATATAATTATGTTATATTAAGAGAGTCCTAGTTACTCCCGCCGTTGACTGCACTTCATTTAATTTCTTCATTTTAACATTCAGAGCATTGGGCAGAAATCACATTGCGTCAACACCCACCAAGGGCCTTCGTGATGCTTTGTTTTAATTAATATGAACCAACTTAAATTAATTAAAGCCAACAACTTTGTTTTAAAGCTTAAAATTAAATGTGCAGAAACTTGCAGTTTTACCAAAAAATCATGAGTAATTGTCAAAAAAGACAGAAAAGATCTGTATTTTTAGACCATGTCAGAAATTACCACAACACTAAAAAGGGTATCCTGAGTCATGATTCAGTATCAGTGAATGTTTAAAGTTGTGAAAGTGGCTGTCAGCTGACACACTTTATACTTTGACACAGAAGCAAAAAAACCCAGTAGCAGCAGCTGGCCAAATAGCCTAACCAAGCACTGCAACACGTGGGTGGAACTGGCCCTAAAAGGACAAATGAAGCAACTTTGCAAAAAACTGTAAGAAGCTAACTAATGTTGTCTTTTGTATTAAATTGTAGGTTCTTCTGCTTCCATGGTCCATGTTTGTTGCTGGAATGAGGGAAAAAAAGAGACTAGTCCAACTCTCACCTCCTCCCCTTCCTCTATGTGATAATCCTTCCTGGTGTTAGGGCCTCCGACAAACATGACAAGCAGCTGGGAGAAGTGCCTGAGACAAAGAGGAATTAAAATCATGTCAGTGCATGCACTGCGTGTCCTCGCAGTTCAACTGACTGAATCCCAAGTGTTCAAACCGCCACATAAATTACACATTGCTCAATAATTACAAAACTTGAGAGTGTAGCTAAGAGTAAATGCGTTACTTACATGAGTTTGTTGCACACTGGGGGCAGGAAAGCATTCTGATTTTCTGCAATCCAGTGTTCCACATTGACCTGAAGAGTACTGCTGTTCATTTTGATGTGATTTGTGCTGCAGAATGTAGCCTCTGGGACTCTCTGTCAGCTGTTATGACTGCTTTAAGCAAGAGGACACATAAAGTCCAAAATGCAGAAGTGGGAGTAAGCAAATCGGGGTGGAGCACAAGGGTTAAAGGTTGTTGTTTAATAAGTAACATAATGCTGTCCTGCAGACCAAATGGAATCCTTTGCAACGTGCACAACGCCACGATGGGAGCAGTTTTTACCCGGCCTACGCTGTACAAAGGGTATTTGAGGTCTAGTTGAGGTAAAAAAAATTATTCTCACTCAGTTTTCTGCTTCATTGGTGGTTGTATATTTTGGTTGGGTTTCAATCAACTTGTAATTAAAGTCCGTTCCTTTAATTTTCTATTTTTATTTAAGTGAAAGCACACAAGTTACACTTATTGTGCATTTTGTGTAATCTAAAACTGTTGGGTTGATCTGACTTTAAAACAAACACAAAAAACTTGCTTAAATCATGCTACCAATTCATGTAATAAAATTAAGTTCTTTCAGTGGTGTTTTTTTTTTTTTGGGGGGGGTTGTGTATAACATGTAAAATATTTAGCATCTTCTTAAAATTCAATATAGCATAAAGGTTAAAAATCCGACCTGTATGCTCATTTCGAACCAGAAAACTGTCCTGGGGTCAGTCAGACCAATCAAACTTTTTATTTTATTTCTGGATGGATGGATGGATGGATGGATGGATGGATGGATGGATGGATGGATGGATGGATGGATGCTGCATCCTCCATCCTGAAGAGGAGAGGGACCAGAGGCCATTCTGGCTCATTATCAGCACACACTTCAAAAGCTACAAAACACATGGGTGTACAAACATGGTGAACAAAAAACATTGATCTACTTGGATTTTCCAACACAACCATCTATGAAGTTTACAAAGAATGGCCCAAATAAGAGAAAGCAACACTTTTCTGGGGGAAAATGCCTTGTGTGTGCCAGAGGTCAGGGGAGAAAAACCAGGCTGCTTTGTGCTGGTAGAAAGGAAACAGTAACTGAATAATCATTACAACCAAGGCATGCGGAAGAGCTCTGAACCTAACCCCAACAGGTCGCAGCAGATGACATTCTAAAGGGTTTACTAACTTTTGAGAATCAACGATGAATGAAGATGAAAGTCTGTGTGAGATATTTGGTCATGGGCAAACAATACACTGACCAATAAAAAGAGTCAGGTTTAGTCAGCCAAGTTTACATAAAGCCACAAAAACATCCACCACAAAGAAAACTGAAGTGAAAATGGTAATTTAATCTGTTCAGTATCATATCTGCTGTACAAAGTGTGCTTAGATTTAAGACATTTAATCAACTGGTAATCACTTAACCTTCAGTATGAAAACAAAACAATTAACTATACTATTGACAATGTTTTTGATGTCGTGTTTTCAGTGTTTTCTTGCCAAGATATGTTGAGCAAGATTCATCACAAGAGCAGTTGCTTCTTCCTTATCGTATTATATTGTGTGACTAATATATTCTTTGCTGAAGAATTATGTGACCAGTGAGCAGCAAGTACATCAGAAATTTGAAGTTCAGTGGAATATGAACAAAGAAGTCCTTCAAGTGCTGTTCAGAGATATTTAGTAAGTAAAATCCTGCCTCCTAGTGGGCCAACTTGAAATGACAGTTTTACAAGTAGCTCACATTTTTTAAACATATGCAGCAAAAAAGTATATGCTGTAAGTTATCGAGAGCATAAACAGATTTTGCTGTTGAAATGAAATTTTAGGTAACTTATCAAAATGTAGATAAATGAAGACGTGTAAGTGCACACATCATGTGGAATGTTTTAGACAGTTAAAGTGTATTTTGTCCCAAAAAAGAGCTTGGGAACATGGTTATACTACTTCTGTTAACCCCATTCAATAAAAAGCTGCGTCTACACTTAAGGCACATTTTTTTTATCCTTTTAAATCCATCGTGCTGGTGTGCAGAGGTGTACAAAGTTAAACTACCACTGTCCAAAAACATATTAAACTCGCTGTAGATGCTTTTAAAGGAATTTCCGCCAGTTTATTCAAAGAGTGAAAGTCTGAGTTAACTCTATGCCATAAACAAAATAAGAAAAAAGAAAGAAAATACTTTTATCTATCTAGTTATTGTAACTAAAGCTATATTTTGTTGCATCTGTTATTTATTGTTTTTTTCTGTGAGACGGTCCCCCCCTCGTGGTCACAAAGGTAATAAAATATCATCCCAATACAACAGTTACGAAGTATTTATTTTGTAGACAGACTGTACATAAAGTCAGAACGCGTCTATCAATTACAATTCAATTAATATTTTTTAATGTACTTTTAATTTTATGAAAACTGTTTAAGCGGGGTCATTCAATGAAGGGATAAAGACTTAATTGGTTCTCTTCCTGTGCGTTCCTTTTAACCCATCACAACCAATATTAGCTTGTGTACACTCAAATTAGTAACGTGACCTCTAATCAACGTATTATATATTTTTATACTTAGTCGTTTTGAAGCTTATTATTTATTTAAGTATTGATTATAGTTTATATGTTATTCCTGATACACTTTTTTAAAGAGAAAATTGGATGTTAGTGCTACCTGCATCCGCTCGTGTTTTGTTGGGCTCATCAGGTTCAAGCTAGGCCTCGGTGGTCACGTGATTTGTGGCCTCACTGAGGCGGTGCCTTCTGCTCAGCGTGCTGCACGCAGTTATCTCAGCAAACACCGTCACATTTGTAATTTGGGGTTCAAAAAATTCCATATAACATTTGGACGTGTGTTTAGCTGATAGAAACCGAAACGTCCTTGCTTTTTGCGGATTAATTAGATATAAATATTCTTTCAGAGACACGAACCGATATGTTCACACATAAGAACTAATTCCGGTTCACTGGGAAGCTTTGAACTGCTTTCTGGAAAGTGACCATTGTTGTAATCAGGTCGAGGCTGTTATCATTTCCACTTGCTGACTTTCTTTGTGTTTTTTACGGATTTGCAGCAGAAAAACAGCGCAAGCTTTTTAGAGTGTCATGAAAGAAATGTCAAGGTAAGTTATGCATGTGACACATTTTTTCCTCATGAATGATTTTGCCCGCGTTTAAGACAATTCTGAAGAATAGGCTAAAGGCTAACGTTAGCAAACTGTCACAACAAGGCCTGCAGCCTTCGGTTGCTGGCTGTCCCGCTTTGTCGCTGGTGGGAAACTGCAGAGTAAATGTGTCAAAATACCCGCATAGTTTCCACTTGTTGGTTTTATTTGGGAAAATGACAACTTTTAAAATGTCTTTCTGTCGAGTCGTTACTTAAACCAATTCTTCCGTAGCATCCGGCTAACGTTTTGCCAACTTGCTAAATTAGCCAAATTGTTAGCTTCCCGTCGTGTTTGTAGCATCTCTGCTAACGCTCGCACGCTGTAAGGAGAGGTTGAATAGTGGCACTTTTTAAATTTGCTGTCTTGGTCAACTCGCTTTCCAAGTTCGACATTGCACACAACTATGGATTTAAAGCTTGCTGTGTGTGGGAGATGTGATTTAATCAGGTTGCTGTCTGTGGAGTGTTTACACAGTATAGTGTTCGCGGCAACAGAACAAGCTAACTGCAAAACCCGACTGGTGTTTATTAAAGTCTTGTTAACGCGTTGGGGAATGGTTCATGTCTTGTTCTTACTGAGCTTGAAACTTAAAAAAAGTGTGCTAAGTGGTGGTGTAGTATCTGCTTTTTGATCTGTTGTACCACGTTTATCGCAGCACCATGCCTAGTGGGCAGCAGCCTCAGAAACACTATGGCATCACCTCTGCGATTAGCCTCGCGCCCCCACGAGAAATAGACCACCACTACACCAAGAAGCTCTGCGATGCAATGAAACCTTTTGGAGTGTTTGAAGATGAAGAAGAACTCAACCATAGGTGAGGAATGCATGTTCTCTCTCCCTCTTTCTTTGTTAATAATATACCAATCACCACAATACAGTCTTTGAATATGTTGATTACAAACCTATGATTTGAAGAGCTATAAGCATTTAAACTAAGCCTCTCTGATATCTATTGTCTGCATTTTATTTGATGTGCACATTAACTAAGTGAATGTACATGGGCATGTAAACTCTTAGGACAGGTGACCTTGTGAAAATCATTTTCACTCTCTCAATGAATTTGTGGAAATGAAGGATTGTGAAAGAAGTGTCAGCTAAAAAGTCTTTCTTTTCAGACTTGCAGTTCTTGGGAAGCTGAATAACTTTGTTAAAGAATGGATTGCAGAGATCAGTGAGTTAAAGGTAGGTTCTGCTTGGGAAGCTGAATGATTTCTAACCCTATTACCAGTTTCCACCCCCAGAGTTCATTTTATGGTCATGCTGAACTGAGATTTACGGTCCCAAAAATTTGTCTGCCTGTTTGCGCATCTCTGTTTGGGGGTTGTTCACCCACCCCAAACCTACTGTCCTAAATCATATTTGCTTCCACACACTCCTCCAAAGTCCTGATTGCCTGTCGCTGGAAGTGGGTGATGTGTCATCCTACTCTTGATTAGTTGACAAGTGGGCCAGAATAGAGAAGGGAGCAACAGTGGAGTTCGCTGGGAACAGGTGAACTGTGGAAAAAGAATTCAAAGATAAAAAGAAAGAAAAATACAGCATGAAATACACAGACCCTAGCTACTGTAGGCACTACTTTTTTTTTTAACATTTGGTTTCACTTCAGCTCTTTGTGCATCAGAAGTTTGATCTTCTCTGTGTCTGGAGGAACAACAATCTTACAAGCAAGAGTGTGGCCCACAGATCAATTCTACCACATACTCTGTACACTACCTCCACTACGCTGATGACAAACCTGTCTGCAGGCCTGGAGTGGACAGTGACCGCACCACCACCACTGGGCCATAAATCCCATTTAAGACTAGGGCTGTTCTACTGTCTAATGCTTGTTTTTGTTTTTTTAACTGTTTATTGAGTTAGGCAAAATTTTTGCAGAGTTTTACAGAATTTCCCACTCTCTATAGTTGTGTGACATTAATTATTGGATTAACAGGGGGAAAGCGCTCAATTGAAATGAGCTTTATCAACAATGCATGAGTATCACTGCAGATGTCCACGTGTTTAGCACTTTATTTGTGACCCCACAGAAACACTGTGCTACAGAGACACCAACTACGCAAGCACCCTTTAAAGAATAAATAACAGGTGTCTATTGAACCAGCAGAGTATAATCTTTGCTTTAAAGTTTCCTCGTCCACGAATATGCAGAGCCATATGACGACATCCACATGCCTGCCAATTTTTGTGACTACTCAGCTGCACTACAAAATAATAAATACCTGTGCAGTAAAGCACAAATGGTCTGTGGTGTCTGCATCTCTCTACGTTTCCAACCAAGTGTATTCCCTGTCTTGTGCGAAGATGATGGGGCTTAGTGCTTTATGAAGTGTTTAATCTTAAACTGTCTAATCAGACACTAAAGTGACACTAACACTTTCTTCTGTTTTGTTAAAAGTCATACTGACTTCAGTTTCTTATCTCTGCTCTACAGAACCTTCCACCATCAGCTATTAGCTGTGTTGGGGGCAAGATATTTACATTTGGTTCATACCGACTTGGAGTGCACACAAAAGGTATGTGTATCTGTTACTCTAATAATTTAACATCTTGTCAACGTGAAACCTGTAGTGTATGATGATTGGCTGGTTCTTTTGGCACAAAAAGAGCGTGTTAGCTGAGCATTATTACCACCTATTGCAGAACCCCGTACAAGCAGGTGTGCAACATTGTTTTTGAAAAGCTCAGCTCTCCCTGACCGCACTGAAACACAAGGCTGTCGCTGTCATTGTCATGTTCCTGTGCTATTGAGTGGTTTTGAAAAGGCTAGTTTTGGGGTCAGAAAACTGGGTAAACAAACACTGGTGTGAATGTGGTTTGAGTCTGCCATTGTTTTAAACAGCTGGCCAGTGTGACAAAAGGGTAAAATCTTTATTTAAATACAAGAGTATAATAGTGATTTGCACTGTTCTCATTTTTTTTTTTAAAGTTACCTGGTTAGCATGTAAACTTTGCAGTATTTTATATTTCAACCTTTTGCTTTCTCGGACAGAATATATTATATATTGATATATTATTGTAATTGTAAATATTTTTCTTAGTAATGAGCAATCAGATATTGCAAAACTGCAAATGAAGTTCTTTGTCTTTCATTTCAGTAATTTTAGTTGCTGCGGAATGAAAATGTAGTGCAAACATGCTGTCATTAAAAACCTGCGATGTCACGTATGACAGCCTGATCTGTATTACAGTTTAGTCCAACTTAATGCAATCACGTGTGAACTACTGTTATGCATTGGTGTTTTAATGTGAGACAGCAGTTACCAGTCCTGTTTGAGATAATGAGCTGTTATTGTCACAAACATTGCAGCATCGCGTACCCAAGTTCCACCATCCTGAGCAAATTTGGAGATAGTTCTGTTAAGCTAAGAGTGCACAGTGTGTTTGATTTTGTTTTGGTTTTGGTTGTTTTTCCATCTTGGGATCTTCGTAGAATTCTATTGTAGATTTCTTCTATTTTACTGCCATATGACACTTTCAAATCATGTGTCACATCAATCTCATGTCTCACTCTTATAAAAGTGTTACAAAAATGTTTTCCCAACTTCCTTCCACACACCTACAGTTGCCTCTGCTGACTTTACTAGAAAAAAAAACCAATAGCACCATCAAGTAGACTGAGAAAGCAACGGATTTTATTATTGTAGTGCTAAAATTCAATTTATATTTGAAATTTGTGTAATAAACAGAGGAAGGGCATTGCTGTTCGACAAACTGATGCGACAGTTTCTGTTATGCTGGCCACAAATTGTCTCTTAAGTGATTCAAATATTCCAACTGTTTATCAAAACATTTTCATCAACATGGTCAATATTTAAACTCCTTTGTTAAAAATCTGCTCAGTTTTGAATGTTCCCTGTGTGTTCTTCCTTTCTAGTCCCCTTGGCAGGTTTTTTCCCCCTCATGTAAATGTTCAGTAATTTAGCCACCTTGAACATTGCTACTTCCTCTAAACCCATAACATTTTCTACACTAAACATGAGCAGTCATTAGGCCTGTTGTGCTCAATAGTTGCAGAACTTCTTTGGATGTTTACATACCTAGTTTAGTATTTCCTAAGTCTGTGCTTTAAACCATAACGTTTTATCATGTAATCTTGACTGAATCAACTTTACTATCATTTGATTCATCAACCCTTTATCCTGCTGATCAATCCAGATGACACTGATCAAAGTAACTCCTCCTTACAGGAGCTGATATTGATGCCTTATGTGTGGCTCCACGGCATGTAGAAAGAACAGACTTTTTCCAGTCTTTCTTTGAGAAATTGAAACAGCATGAAGAGATTAAAGATCTCAGGGTAAGTCTTGTTGCCACAGCGGGGGGCAGACTGACCTACAGTGTCCTCAGATGTCCTTTGTTGTTGATGAGGCCTTTTGTTTGTTCTCTACTCCCTCAAGGCTGTTGAGGATGCTTTTGTACCAGTGATAAAATTCAAATTTGATGGAATTGAGGTGAGTTTCATTGTCACCCAAATGATAATCATGATTACATCAGTGCATGCATACTGATTAAAGTAAACTAATTACACTACTGTGTTGGTAACATGCTTGCTGCAGGGTACTTTGTGCCATGTTGCTTTGGTCATGTTTCCCATTTCAACAAGTATGAAGGGTTAATCCCATGACGCAAACATTTTTATCTCTAATGTTTTATGTCTCTGTGTGAGCAGATTGACCTGCTTTTTGCCAGATTGGCCTTACAATCCATTCCAGACAACCTGGACCTGAGGGGAGACTCCATCTTGAGAAACTTGGACATTCGATGTATCCGCAGCCTTAACGGTGCGCTCAGTGGTCACTGCTGATCTGAGGCTTTAAGTTAAAACTGACACATCTCCAAAGTTTTCCTAATGGTAATTTCCACAACTGTAACACTGCCTTTTTTTTTTCTTTCTTACAGGTTGTCGAGTAACTGATGAAATTTTGTACCTGGTGCCGAACAAAGAGAACTTCAGACTGACACTGAGAGCCATCAAACTCTGGGCAAAACGTATGTGTGCTTGCACTTTCTATGTGTTTGCCGTTGTTTGCGTTTATTGTATTTATTTGCACTTGGGTTGTGTATCCTGTATAGAGGTTTAGGACGTGGCGTCATGCACACATCGCTCGAGAGCTGCCATATTGGACATAATAAGCGTTAGCAATCATGTCTAATTACTCAAGTAGTTTAAATAGAAATTGGATACAGGCATCAAATAAACAGTATAATGGCGTAACAAATATAAGTTACTTGAATTTTTAAAATCACCAGTGTTTGTTTGAAACAATATTTGACTATTTAAAATTTTTATATGTATTATCTCGTTTTTTTTATTTTAAATTTATTTTATTATTATTATCTTCATCTGCCTTCTTCACCACTACACTCAGCTTCTCACCCTCCTCATCTTAAGCCTCACTCCTGAGTTGAAGTTAAATGGTAAATGGCCTGTATTTATATAGCGCTTTACTTAGTCCCTAAGGAGTCCAGAGCGCTTTAGACTACATCCAGTCATCCACCCATTCACACACACTGGTGATGGCAGCTACATTGTAGCCACAGCCGCCCTGGGGCGCACTGACAGAGGCGAGGCTGCCGGACACTGGCGCCACCGGGCCCTCTGACCACCACCAGTAGGCAATGGGTGAAGTGTCTTGCCCAAGGACGCAACAATCGAGACTGTCAGAGCCGGGGCTCGAACCGGCAACCTTCCGTTTACAAGACTAACTGCCAACGATCGCCCCAAGTTAGGGTTATAACATGAGTAACCCTATGTGAACAAACTTAGTTTAATCTCTATATTGTTGCAATTGGTTAACGGTACCAGATCAGACATGTGACCCTCCCGTTTCTGGACAGCTGACAAGAGATGGCTAAACAACAAAATAACATCACAAGCTAACATCATGCCAGCTAACATTAGACTCTAGCGTCCAAAGACTTTTAAACGCTTTCCCTCTGATCAAAACTTTGATTACATTCTCAAATCACCAGAGTTTATGTTCTAAGTTCGAATCTGCCCACATAAGATCCAAAGTTTCAGGAACAACCATAAATGGCAGCAAACAGGAAATAACAGCAGCACTTACTGACAGAAAATTACAGATATCCTCAACAATTCATCTCAGTGTGACTGTCGTTAATCAGAAATGAGCTACGTTGACCCATTGATAATGTAAGGGATAATGCACAGAGAGGTGCCAATATCAATATCGTGGTCCACTTGATCCAGTGACTACAGTCCAGTAACTAGAGTTTGTTACCCATCTTGACACAAAATACTGAAACATTCAAACTTTTGTAGACTTGTATATCTCGTTCAATGTAATGTTTGATATAAATCGTGTGGTGTGATGTTGGGGAGAACGCCAGGAGAGGAGAAGTTAACATCCATCTTCAGCTCTTCGCTGCCAAGTTTCTCCACATAACGAGCAAGATGCTTGTCATAAAATGTTTCACTTCCTCTGAGAGAGTATATACACTTGTTTGTTTATTCATAGCTGCTATAGTGTGTCTCATCTATATGTGGTGTAGGTTTTTCACTATGTTTCAGGCTTATTACATGTCCGAAATGGCCGATAAGTTAATGCCACGTGGTAAGCGGTCACATCTCTGCAAATCCTTTATGTAAACATTTGTGTTTACTATCACATAAGGCCAGAGGGGCCGATGGCGCGATATGGCAGCCTGGCTTCTGTCAGTCTGCCCCAGGGCAGCTGTGGCTACAACTGTAGCTGCCTCCACCAGTGTGTGAATGTGAGAGTGAATGAATAGTGGCATTGTAAAGCGCTTTGGGTGCCTTGAAAAGCGCTATATAAAATCCAATTTATTATTATTATTATTACTACAACAAAAGCGCTCCTCCTGTTTTTCTCACATGTCAGTGTATAACTCAGAGTGGTTAGTGATGCTCTTCTCAATAACCTGTAACATTTCCTGTGGCTGCAGGTCGAGGAATCTACTCCAACATGCTGGGCTTTCTGGGTGGAGTGTCATGGGCTATGTTGGTAGCCAGGACCTGCCAGCTCTACCCCAACGCTGTGGCTGCCACACTTGTCCATAAGTTCTTCTTGGTTTTCTCTAAATGGTGAGATTCTGCAACTTATCGTCTTCCGCTTTTTGGCAGCGTCTCACAGCCCAAATATATTTATTTACTGCATTCATTACCTTCCTTTTGTAGGGAGTGGCCGAATCCGGTGCTTTTGAAACAGCCTGAGGATAGTAATTTAAATTTGCCTGTGTGGGACCCGAGAGTGAGTATTACACCAGTGTTTTACCTTCTTATGGTATTGTTATGCCCTCTGTTTTGCACATGTATTGCTGTGTAGACACTGGTAAAGCTATCTGGATGGAGATGTGATAAGTTTGTTGGTGTGTTTTTTAAATTTGGCTCGACAGCTAGTGTGTAGGTACATTTCACATCTCTTATTTCATGTCTCCTCATCCCTATGTCCTCACGTGACCACGACATTGATTGGGTCCCACTCATGAGCTCCAGTGCTCTTAACTCTGCTCGGAGGAGGCCTCCCAGAGCAGAGCAGTTTGGAGGAAGGAAGACTTCCCACATGGACGTCTTGTCAGATAACACACCCCTACAATAGAAAGTGCATTAGATACAGAATAGAGCTGAAATCTTTTTTTATGGGAGTCTCATTTATTTTGGAGACTAAGCCCTTCGTACCTTCTAGCGCTAGTATACATATGGTAACCGTACCATAAGTGGTAGGGCTGAGTGGGGCAATGGTGTGTGTACAGAATATTTCAGGACATATTGAGACTTTTTTTTGCAAATGTAACTCTGTTCTATCTTGTCAACCTCACAGAGCCATGGGAAATTACTTAAACTGAAGAAGACATTGAAGCTATTAATAAATGACTTGGATCTGTGTAAAAATAAAGAACATTTAATCAAACTTTCTCGGGAATTGAGAAAAATCTTTTCGTCTGAACATTTGTTGTTCCTGTGATAGTTTGGGTGGTTTTTAATGAACAGTATTTGGTGGTTTGGTGGCTTTTAAATGAACGCGGCCTCCTAATTTTGCGTTTTGATGTAAAAAAAACAAATTGTTTTTGAATGTAAAATGACTGTAGGTGATCGCATCCTTACACCAGGGGGTGCTGCAGAGTTGATGAGAGGGGTTATTGAGCCTGTTCTCTTACAGTCAGAGCAGGAGCAGCTCGTCTCTTTCAGTCTTTTCCTTTTCCAGCTGTCATATGTTTGTTTTTATAACTTTGCTTATAAATCTCTTTTCAAACTAAATGCTTTTTGCCTTAATTGAAAACACTCAAGCCCTTTGTAACTACTGTGTCATGTTTATTGTGTCCCTTCAGCAATAAACACTTTTTAATTGCATATTGGTGTCCTTTCCGTTCAGTCACTTGGCGACTGCTGAGCTGTAGGCTGAAAATACCGTTTAGATTTTATTCATGCCACATGTTTGTTTTACGCTGAGACATTCATCACAGTGTGGACTGTTAAAAGCACAAACTGTTTATTTCCTGGTGGTAAGTTGGCATTTGGCCGTAGGCCCTCCCCTCTCTCTTAAATACAGAAAAGCAAGTATCCAGTGTAAAACCAATCATATGCAGGATACTTAAGAATGTGTCCCACTTTTGTGACAGGCTAAATCCAGATTTGGTGATGCTTATCATGCAGCTGGTGTTAAGGCTCATTGTGCACATAAAATTTCAAGTGTTTTGTAATGCTGGCAAACATGAATAGCTCTCATTTGATGTTAAAGATTAGTTATGGCTCATAGCCTTTTTTTCTTTTTTTCATTTTCTTTTATTTATTTATTTATTTATTTTTTGTTTTTTTAGAAATAGTTTCTTTAATTCCGCCATCCTCACATTGCCTGAGGGGAAAAAATGCAAATGAGGGAAATTTAAGGCAAGCAGAGTGAATTGGGATGTACTGTGTGGGTGGGTGGGATGTGTGTACCTTTAGCTTTATGTTGCTTTTGTGCGTGTGGGTGTGGGTTGTGGTGAAATTGATCTTCTCATTCAGCTCGGTGGGTGGAGTGCACTGACGCAACAGCTCCCTGATCTGCAGAGAACCCAACAAGAGTCCCCTGTGCTGCGTCTTTCCTTAATTAATCGACCTTTTTAAATTCTAGGTGAACCCAGCTGACAGATATCACCTGATGCCCATCATCACACCTGCCTATCCCCAGCAGAACTCCACATACAACGTCTCCACGTCTACACGTACCATCATGAGCGAGGAGTTCAAATACGGTAAAGAGTGAATCAGCAACGTAGCACTGCGAAGTCACTTCATCAGTGTTTTCCAATTTACACTGGGTGTACACGAGGGCTGAGTCATCAAATCCATCTTCGTTCTATCATGAACAGGTCTCAGCGTCACAGATGAGATTCTTCAGGGCAAAGCAGAGTGGTCCAAATTGTTTGAGCCGCCCAACTTTTTCCAAAAATACAAGTGAGTGCTCTGTCTGTGCTTTTGAAACCGCCTGAGGATAGCAATGTAAGTGTACCTGGGTGGGACACCCCTCCCCTTTGCTTTTTGCTTGTTCTACATTTTGAATTTGCCAGGTGCATATTTAAAAAAACACAAATTTTAAAAACACAAATGCTTTATGCAGCTGAAACGAACTAGTGCAACTTGCTCTACACACACACACACACACCCCCCCCAGCAAGTTATTGTTTCTGTGGTGTGGGCAAATTTGAGTCATTCTGTGGTCACTTAGGGTGACTCACTTTGTTTATGAATGTTCCTCCCACACGCAGTTTCTGCTGGCTTTCTGTTGGTGCTGCTCTGTTACTGGAGCTACAATGGTCACCTGAGCAGTGGTGGGACTGTCGATGCCCAAAAACTGTGGATTTTGCTCCTCGGTGTGGTATTGAGGATTGGTACAAGATCATTAAGACTGCACAGTAGTGCATCAGCAGACCAACACCAATCTCTGTGAAAGCCTGAGGTCTTTCAGGACCTCTGGATTTATTATTTGCATAACTTCCATCCATTCTCTTCCGCTTATCCTTTTTAGGGTCGAGGGGGGGTGGAGTCTATCCCAGCTGTCTCAGGGCGAGAAGCAGGGTAAACTCTGACCATAACTTGTTTAACTTTATTTATTTTCTTCTTTTTTTTGTGGCAGACATTACATTGTTCTCACTGCCAGTGCATCGACAGAAGAAAACCACTTGGAATGGTGAGTGTCAAAGATCAAGATTTCTAGTAGCTCAGGAGCTCTAAATCTGTAAATCACCATCAGCCATCATTGTCTTTGATATTAATTGATACATTTGAGCCTGCCAGTTTGCATGCCAGCTTAGTTTCATCTGTATTTACAGTCATGGTACAGGATCATCTATGTAAAGTGTGTATGAAAAAGGTGAATGTAGCTTCGGTGTGTGACAAATTAAGCTTTTGCAGAAGTGTGTGACTTTTGTTCTTTTTAAAACAAAAAGTGAAATTGTTTAGATGTATAGGTCTTCATCTAGAACCTCAGTAAACTCTTTCCTGATGAGTTTAGTCTCAGCAACTAGTGTCAGGTCTTATCGAAGACAGTATAATGATCATTTTTGTCCGATTAAGTCCAAAACAAGGATTTAGCAGGCCTAACTTGTGATTGTGAGCCCCATCCGGTTTCCTTAGGTTTCTCTGAGATTTGC